ACTTTAATGAAGAGGTTTTGACCCAATTTAATGATTTATCATAGGGTTTTTTAAAAATACGTTTTGGGGTAAGAGGTGCATCCTGGCTCACACTCATTTCAAGGGTCAAAGTACAGGATATAGGTGACTTTCGAATTTTCAACATGCATTCTTAGGACTCTACTTGGGTACTACGAATAATACACAATTAGAATTTTGGCAACATTACATGCACCGTTAAAACATGTTCTTTTTCGTGGTCTTGATGTATAATTTGCTAGGATACTACTAGTACTATCCATATTTTACGGAGGTGATTTTGTTAAGGAGTTTATATATTAGAAATGTCTTCTTCGTAAGCGTACTTCGAATGGCAAAAGAACAAAATGCAAATTTTCACGTATACTCTCATTGTTTTTTCATGATTTCACTTTTTCATGGCATTTTCATGGATTTCCAAGGAATCACTTTTTAATAGTACTAAATCAATATATATATATCTGTTTATTTAAGAACAACGTCAAAAACGTATGCATTCTGAACTGTAGCACTATTAGATTGAATTAAAACACGGCATGAAGGTTACAGCAAAGCTCTCCGACTAAAAGTCTACCAGTAGTATCTACTGCCTGCAATCTCGAAAATTGTACAAAAGACACACATGCGCATAGCACATTTTGATACAACTTTAAAGTTCGATACAGCAGCGCCAAAAATGGATTAAGTACAATAAACATTCATTTTGATGCTTAGCTGGTATTCCCAGTATAAACACATCTGTAACTGAACAGGTTCAGAGCTGACGTTGAGCGGTCAGGGCCCCTTGCTGATGTGTCTCAGTGACACTGTAGAATTCTCATTGATATTTAACTCGAATGGATTATGTAGTCTTCCAATGGATGAATACAAAATATCAAAGTTCGTTACGCTTGAGATGTTTGTCAGTAAAATCATATTACGCTTGCCTATTTGTCCAGAGGACACTTCGGACTTTAAAACATTGAGCCGCATTTAACATGTAAGTTACTACTTTATACTATTATACTGATATTGTAAAACTATTTGCTGGATTTCCGCATTACTGCAGTCAAGAATTAGTACAATGTCACTTCCTTTAATACTCATTAATATGTATTCAATCTTTCTCAATCAAATGTGAGACAGATGTAATTAAATTTTTAAAACCAAATGTCTGAAAATTTTTTAAAATGGGAAAGCTAAATAGACTAAATTATTTTTCTTGGTAAGAAAACCGTGAATACATTTACGAAATCCTGCATCTTGAGAAAAGGGTTTTTGAGAAATGAGAATTCGTGATTGGTTGCGAGGTCAGTCAAACATCTTTTGGACGTTTACATTATACGGTTTCAATGCAAAAAAGTTAACTCTATGAAAACGGATTCCCTTTTTATACTTTATGAAAATGTTCCTGGTATACTTGAAGAAGAATTGCCATCCTCTGATCCCAAACATTATTGGAGACTTAAATTAAGTGGTTATGGACATCAAGTGGATTTTCACAATCTGCAGTTAATCTGGTACATCCCATTTAGTGTGGATATTGATGGCGAGAATAAATCTAACTACCCAAACGACTATTGTAGTAATATCGTGAATCCTTCACGAAACGTTTAGTTCTTGTTGGCTAATAAGTAATGAAATTAGAGACTTTTTCAGATATTGAAGGTCGACAACGTTTCAGGTGGGGACTGAAACAGTCATCAAATATTAGGAAATCCCTCACAAACTGGTTGGTCCTCACTTGAAATCATTTTGATATGTCTTTATAGACTAGTACTTTTCAGCCATTTGAAAGTTGGGGTGGGGGTGTAGGGTGAAGGATGGCAGACACATTCTTTCTAACTATGTGACAATTTCCCTTTCATTCATTATTTAATCAGATTTTGAGCGAAGTAATCTTCAAGTACCGATATAATCACTTAACAGTTTTTCATTGCACGCACGATTTATGCACGATGTGTGCACGTTGTGTGCACTATAGGAAAACTGGACAAAATTTGCAAACACGCTTATATGCAATTGATGTGTCCTTCTATCGCACGGATTTTCGATTAGTATAAATATAGAAATTAGTTATGAATAAGTCTCCGATAGATTTTATATTGAGGAGTACAGCTAGGTATGTTTCCCAATTTAGCTATGGAGCTATAGGTTAGAAACATTTAGATGTAGCAGATACACACTGCATGGCTATGTACACTCGTAATCGAATGTGTTGTGTTTGTAATGTGGCACACTTGAGTAGCCTTAGTGTACAGTCACTCAACATCAGGAAAGAATCATCTAAAATCTAAAACCGTTAAAAACGAAAAAGTATTTTTACTTCTGTCAACATCTGTATTCCGCATAAATGCAGCCATTGTAAATATTCTGTAAGGTAAAATTCACGGGGAAATGAGGGGAAATACTAAGATTACGACATTAAATTGCTTAGACACATGTGCAAGTTTGTTGGAAAATCTTTTATCTTTCCATCGACGTATAATTTATATCTATCGCCCTGTTGTAAACTTCCTAAATGTAGACCCTGGCAGCGGTCGTAACAATTTGGTGTATTTATATAGGGGAGAATTCTGACTATCGACCTCTACCAAGTCAAAAATAAAACCGTGTAAAGATCTTCAGAGCCCTCAGCACTACTGCACCTCGTGCATATCTCATACGCACACACGCACGATACAATAACTAGTCGCAACTGTGCGATCATATCACATATTTTGTGCTGATCAATAAATATGGTTGATTGATATTACGGATTGATGATTAAACGGAAATTTCGTAAAATTATGACTGAATAGGCATATTAAATGTTGATGGGTGATTAAAAGTCCTTTTCAAATTGATATTTATCGAAATACAACAGGACCAAGTGTTAATTAGCCTCTCTTGTGTATAGGTTCACACCACAGAAAGAGGCGAATGGTGTGTTCCAAACAACAAAAATTACCTTTATACGGCGTGGGTAAATACGTGATAAACCAGTACTGCACAAAACACTTCGGATATATATCTTTTCTTTACAAAATTGTAGAAAGTTGATTGTAATATAGATCTAGTATTTGTTAACCTTACTATCAAGCCTGTGCCTAGGATAGATTTTAATATGTCTGACCTATAAAGATATCGGTTAGATAGGAGCTATACTTGGCTGTACTCTTACATTTCTGAAAAAAAAACAACAACCTTGTCCCTGTCATTTCTAAATTTACATTTTTATAGGAACTACAACAGAACATCTCTGTGATAGAACTGCACATCCTGGGCACAGACGTGTGATCTTTTAACGTTGTGCGATACCATAACTGTATGTACAAATGTATAATTACGTTGATTCAATAAAATTACTCAACTGTGTATCATATCTGTCATGCTTCTGTTGTAATATGGTCGGTGATAGAAATGACTGATAGAAATCTAGGTGTACAAATATCGGTCAGAGATGGGTGAATAAGTTATATCTTTCAAAACGGTCATCCGAGACGGCCAGTGTTCCTGTGTGTTAGGTACACTGAACCTGTATATCTTAAATGCTCCCGGACATCACTGCTACGTTAGTTCACTTGAAACCCTTAAGGTATGAATGGACCATTAAACCGTAACGATAGCATGAATATTGTCATTTCTTATAAAATCAAAACACATTCCCTTTTTATACAAACCGAGTTATTTATTCTTAAACAACTTGGTGTTTTAATCCGTAGCTTTTCCGTTTCACTACCGTATACTGTTTGCGTCGTACTACCGTAGTATATCTATGGTATGGTTTCCAGAGCAAAAGTTACCACAGTTAAAGCAATGATCATGAAACTTTGTGTATATAATGTTCATGCTAATGTGATGTGCAGTGTACCGAATGCAGGGCCCTAAATTCCAGAGTTACTGTCCTTTGTTAAATTTCCTGTCCAAAGCATAACTTTACTTGCATTTAAACTAGGATAATGAAACTTCTTGTTGTATAAATTTATCATGCTAAGACGATGTGCAGTATATCAAAATTCAGGACTCACATCCCTTCATTGGAGAGTTATTGCCCTTTGTTTAAAGTACAAACTCTTAAATTCCAAATTTTTAAATTAGAATATTGGAGATTTTATCAGTTTCACTGATACTGACATTCTGATGTATGTTAGACACCAATGAATGAAAAATGATCGAAAACGATAAACTATATAGTAAATCAATGTTTTTTCCAAAGACGCAATCATAGAAATCTGTCTAGTGTCACTCGATTTTGTAGATTCAATGTTCCCTGAATAATGAACCATAATTTATAATTTCTAAAATAACATAAATTTTATCAAATATATTATAGATGTAACTATAAAATGTTGAAAAATACGATTATGAGCTATATTTGAGAATTCTCATTAAAAACGTTATCGTCATTATGTCAAGTAAATAGGCATAAATAATACCAGTGTTATATATAATATGTTGAAAAACTGTCCACCTTGATCATTCATTTTTTATGGATCACTCATCCTTGTCCGAACTACTATATTAATCATTTCTTTATCTTGATATCGAGACGATATCGAGATATGTAACGGTGAACATCCTCTGTAAATATCACACATATTTGTAAGTAGAAACACTACAGTACAAAGTGTGGACAAAAATATTATTTTGTTCTATAAGGAGAAGTGGAGATTTCCACTAGAATGTTGTTTTCCTTGTTACTGTTTGAGAACCTGGCACTCCTTACTTGGAGTGACCAAAGTTTTGCATGGCGGTTATAGTCGACGAGACTTACCCCATTCGGAACACCTGGTCTTGCACTCCCTGTTTCCTTTCAGAAGTCTTTCTTGCGTGTCCTTGTTCATATTTGCCCTAGTTTTATAGAATTCTTGTTTGAATTTAGATTATGTTACATTGCTGGTATTTATTTTCTTTATTGTATTTAACGGGTTTTATTATGCTTGCCCTGTGATAAAAACGTGTCTATGTTTCCTTTGTTGTCTATATAAATATCTTTATTATTGTATACATCAGAAACGGAGATGTCTGTCAATGACGATACCACGAGTTCCATGTTGAAGAGGCTTGCTGATGATCCAATGTAAGTAACACAGTTAGATCAACCGAAGTGAACAGTATTACCGACAATGAAGGTGACATTAGAGTCGATACAACTTTCAATTATAAACAAAGGGGACCTGTGGTCGCTACGGTCACATGAGCTCTCTAAACGCTGTCATTGTTCTTGTATGCCTTATAAATGACTTCGTTATAAAGATTGCAAAAAAGGCAACAAACATAAATAACACCTTTAATAGCGCCAAAATAATGAAAGAAAATATATTATACATCTTTCTACTCCTCTAGGAATTGTTAGTGAGGCTAAGGTCTCATCTTTGAACATTTATTCCTCGGAAATCCACCAGCAGTGTCCACCACTTGCAATGTCAAAAATTGCAAAACAAAAAAGAAACAAAATAGGAAAGCAAGTTAATAGCACCTACTTACCACAATTCTTAGTACTATTAAATTTGGATTACAATCGTATTGTGATGATGTTTACCCAAGACGTAGTATATGGGTTTTTACAAAATACAAATACCTTTTTGGCCAATCATCAACTACCTCTTCTAAAAAAGCTCTTAAAGAACATTTGATTGTTCCATCCTGTACACCACCATACCCAATTCTAAACAGAACGAATATTTTCAGTCTCTTGTTATGAGAGCTTTCCGCTCCAAGAAAAATGAACGGTGGTATTATTATATGGTTGGGAACTATACTGAAGCGTATCTCGTAACTGAAAACCGTCCAAATGAAAGAAGAAATATATGGAGGACGAAATCACTAATCGATTATTGAATTTGAGTTTGGAATATGATTATGTTGACATGATGGTATTTTCTTTCTTTCTATTTTGATGCAAATAAATACTTATGGGTATAAAGCGGAGCCACACAAAAAATTGAATTACATCATACATTTATTTCGTCATTCTAGGACTACGGGCCGCAAATTTGTAATCTAAGAAGCAGTTGGGGGAAACCAAAATAAATCGAAATAAATGTTAACATCTAGATGGGGAGCATTAGCCCCGTACTTTCCTGATTGCAGTGAATTTTGTTTTCTCTATGAAAGTCACTCAGAGTCCAGAGGTCAGGAATGAGCATGCGAATGGTTTTATTGTTCTCATTAAACTTGCACATGAATGCAGGTACTTGATTTACATGTAATCTAAACAAATGAGGTGTTACATGTAGATATTTATGACATTTGTTTTTCAGATTTCCTTGAAATGAATTCTATATTTTTGTCGTTACTACAGGCTGGTACTGAATAAGATGGCTTCAGAGAATGGATCCCTTGACCTTGGTTTGGTATGATTAAATATATAGATATTTTGTATAATCACCTGACAGAGGTGATTTTCAAATCTGATTTTTATTTTGAACAATAAATTAGGTAAACGTTAAAGGTACTAAATCTATGAAATAATATTGATTATTTATCTTAAAGGGATTTCCAAACTTTCCACCACCACACCACATCACGCAGGCGCTAAGTGACGCGGCAACAGGAAACAACTTCACGTTACACCATTATACCAGTCCGTATGTGAGTATACACAACTACGTGATGAATTTTGCCCTCCCGTATATGAGTATACAGAATTAAACGATACATTTTACGCATTGTCCGTTGTTCATCCGTCAGGCGTCAATTTTACAATTTAACATCTTTCTGTCAATAACTAGCAGACCAAATGTAAAGGTATTCGGCCAGTGCGTTGATAAGACCGAGCCCGACTAAACGAAAGATGCAAAATAATGATATTTGGCTGACATGTTCCGAGTAATTCCGACAAATTTGTGAAAAGAAATAACCCTGACCCTTATTTGAGGTCACATGAGCAAAATTTGTTAAAATCTTAAAATAACTTCTTCTGGCTAACCCAAAGGAACAATGCAATGATGTATATGTCAATATATTTGTTAACACTGAAAACATCGAATACCAAAAACTGCACACATGTTCAGGTTGTGTGGTATATGGCTTTCGTGATTCGAGATAAATTTATCACTGAGTGTGTAAGATGTAAGTTCACAGTTTCAATTATCAAATGCTTTGTCATGTGAAGAAATACTAGTAATATTCATTTATGTCATAATATATATTGTTTATGAAGACAATATTTACGTGGTAAATAAACGTATACTATTTAAGTCACATGTATATATACTAGGGTCATCCTCGTCTGGTGAATGTCCTGGCTAAGTTGTACTCGAAGTTTCTTTCAACCACGCTGGACCCAACTGACCACGTATTGATCACCATAGGGGCATTCCAGGGTTTATCCTCTATATGCCAGAGTCTCATCTACCCGGGGGATGAAGTAAGACAAAATGTGTTGGTCATCTGCTATCATCACTTCTCCTTCATTTCACTTTGATGTTTTTCTTCCTCGGAGAGAGAGTGAACAGTTTTCTAATTAAAATAAATCATATTCAACAGTAACATATATCAATTGTAACACAACTATGTAAATCAGCTACATTTAAACTCTTGTAAAAAGCTACGCGTTCACGCCGGCATGAATGGCACTATATTATGTTGTAGGTGATTTTGCTGGAGCCATTCTATGCCGCATACAAAACTATGTTGGAAATGCGTGGTGCTGTGCCAGTCTATGTCCCACTGCGACCTGTAAGTTAAGAAGAGAATATTTACACTGTTTAAAAAATGTATAATAATCCTTTCTTGTTCCGATCTCCAATAACCATATCATATATATTATGTTAAAATAAATTAATAGATATCTAGATGCGTGTAATTGTTGTGAACGTATATAAAACTGCATTTTGGTGACTGATGTATATACTCTAAATTATGAAGTCATTATTTAAAATATTGCTTTTCTTTTTCAAATGCAAAGTCTAAAACAATTAAATGAAGTCATAAGATTAAAAGACCTTTCTACATAAATAGCATTCTCGTTACCATTGACATGATCATTCTAATATGTTTACTTCTTCAGTATAAAGATGGTGGTGAACAGAGCAGTGCTAACTGGGTGTTCAATACGGCAGAACTGCAAAAGGCTGTTACAAGCAAAACAAAGGCTATTTTTCTGAATACGCCTATGAATCCATTAGGCAAAGTAAGCTGTTTATCAAATCAAATTTATTATTTTCGTATTGTTAAAGATGTGAATGAGAAATAATTGGTAGCTGAATTTTGAATCGGATTACCATGGCCCTTAATGTGTTCGACATGTCAAAGGTCACTTGTCATTACAAAATTACAAGACCATCCGTCAATGAGGTTGGTATGAATATTGTCAATATATTTTTCCAACTGCGTGTGAAATTTATACATCGTAGCGACACTTTTAATATGATGGCCAGTTAGACCTTAAACATGGATTTCTTAGGTCAATTGATTGGAGTTTTTGTCATGTGCAGGTATTTGACAAGAAGGAACTTCGTGAAATCTCGGATCTTTGCGTGAAACATAACCTACTTTGTGTGGCTGACGAGGTTTATGAAAGGCTGATATATGGTGGAAAACAACACACTCGGATAGGTAAACATTTATTGGTAAAAATTACAACCACTCGTGTGTCGTCGAAATGACGGTAGAGCTGATATCTGAATTAACAAATCGTTTAAACGTTGTATGAAGGGAGAAGTTAAATTCGGCTTTCATGATGATACTTTTAGTAGGTGTGGCTAAAATGTCAACAGTTCCTGTTGGGCGGAATCGATAAACAGATATATTTACGATTTCTAAAACAATACCATATGATTTGATATTTTCTCGGGTAATTTATCTGCACAGTTTCTTCAGCAGTTTCTCTTTATATCTGAAATACACCTTTATAAGAAAGTAGTATCAATTACCTTTATACGCTGTAGCTTCTTTACTTTCTCTTTTTCCATCCAAGATACTTTCCATCTGTCCATTAATTCAGTTCTTGACAATTTCAATATTTACTGAACTCTTTAAATTAAATTGGTCAAAATGGTTAAGTTCATAAAAATGCATGGATTAAACTTAATAAATGACAAGGTCACATGATCAAAGGTCATTGTGTCCAAACGTCAAGGACGGGTAGACGTAATAAAACAAGAATATTGATGTGGCTTCCCGATGATTATTGTGATATGTAGCAGTACGGCGTCGCTCCTATTGACATGTCAGTATTAATTTCTGCTGCTTTGCGTTTTAATCCCCTTTAAAAACGTGTTTTCCTTTCCAGCGAGTTTCCCTAATATGTGGCAGCGCACTATTAGCCTCGGAAGTGCTGGGAAGAGTTTCAGTGTAACTGGCTGGAAGGTAGGCTGGTGTGTCGGACCTAAACACTTAATACAAGTTCTCCAAAACTACCACTTCTCTGCCATTCGGACAAGTCCTACTCCTACACAGGTAAATATTTCATTGCCAATATGAGTGTAGTACACTGTACTGTCTTTCATGTATAGGAGTAAAATTGATATATGAATTTAAAAAAAACATGTGCTAATATACAAAGCAGATACTTCCTTGAAGATAGGACGAAAGAAATGTATCTGCTGTCCCCATTGCATGATTTGAAAGAGGTGACTTAATTTGGTCGTTTTCCTTCTTCCGAAACACCTACATAGTATTTTCGCCTTGTTGTCTCTCTTGACACGGACTTACATTTGACCTATTAGTTGATCGATGAGTGTTCGCCCTTGCGGAATGCTTTGGGTTCTGTGACTTGTCGAAACAGACTACAGACTTTTGAAATGGTAGTTGCTACTCCTTTTTCACTGCAATAACGCAACGGCTGGTCTGCCCTTTATCAGTATAACGTGAAGGAGCTCTGCGTTCTACTGAGAACGTTCGGCTGTACTCTGGCAGTGGCAGCAATATAAATTCTACTTCAGTTCTGCACTATCACATGGGGACTAAGACGGACGTATCTCAGCCCCTTCCCCCTACCTCCATCGCCCTTTTCCCCACTCCCCAAAAGAAACAATCGTTCAACACCGGCACTAACTTCGCAGACACCAGTAGGCTGTTGTTGATAGGGCGTTAAAAACATGAAAGGATGCTAAGGAGACTTCACCAGAAATTATCTGTCAAAAATAAACAGAATGTACACTGAGTAGTTATGTAAACAACTACCAGGGTATTGCTTTATTCTATCACCGTTAAGGTGGTCGGGTTTCAAAGTGGTAAAGCACTCGTATTTCACCTAGTCGTCCGGGGTTCAAATTCCGGAATGGACGTAGAAAGATTTTATGTCGTTTGCCTGAATACGTCGGTTTTCCCACAAGTACTCCGATTGCCTCCCACAGTAAGATCGTATCTGGACCAACAAGAATGATTTATACAAGAACAACTCGTTTCACAATTGTTGTAAGATGAATTAAGTTTGATTTTCATCTGCAATCTATTTTTGAACACAGGAAGCTTTGGCTGTTGCCTTTGAGAAGGAGATGCACGTGATGAACACACCTGAGTCATATTTCCAGACTATATCTAAAGAACTGGAGTTGAAGAGAAACAGACTTTGTCAATATCTCAACAAAGCTGGTTTCAATGCCATCACCCCTGACGGCGGGTGTTACATCATAGCGGATATATCGAATATTCTAGGTAATATCATACATCATAGCGGATATATCGAATATTCTAGGTAATATCATACATAATACAGGATATATATAATGTTATTTCACAGCGGAATTTTCAAATATACTTTTTAGGTTACAATGTTGATTACATCATAGAAGTTATATGAAAAATGTATAATGATGCACATCATACATAATATTAACAGTGTATGTTTAATCTGTAGCTGAAACAGATATCCCGAATATTAAATAAGATACATGTCGAACATACACTGTTGCAGGCCTATCTGATATCTTTATACATGTAATTTCTTACTAACCATTCAGAAATAATGATGTTACAAGACGATATCCCACGAATTTGAATTCATCCACTGTCTGTTGTAGTCAAACATTTTCCCAATAGTTTGGGTGTTAGGGTTTGGGGTGTAAGTTTTTTTTTATTTTTTTTTAATTTTTTGATACATCATGTGAAAATATGTATATGCATAAGACTTGGCCAGCGCATAATTTCTGCATAGTTCGTTTTTTAATGAAAACAATTTTTGACAAAGTCGTGACGCTTTCGAAAACAAAAAAAAAAGTGTGAACAAAATCATAATCCAAAATTAATTCAGTCAAATGCAGTCAATACCAGGATAAATATAAACAAAAGGAAGATTACACTGAGACTCAACATACAAGGAAATAAAGAATCAATCCCGACATATACACCATAGGTTGGGGACGCAGGGATATTATATATAGCTATGGGAAATGAAATAATCATATTTATCATACAGTTTGGTGGAAAGCTGTCCATGTTGTAGGAAAGATTGAGATAAACGACTGATGTGGAAGAGTTTGTTGTGTCTTTGATTTTAAATTCTGGTGGATATATACGATCGATGTGATCAATCAATATCTCGAAAACACCTGTCGAAACATTTTATAATTTTCAATGCAGATATCTTAAACATTAGTTTATTGGTTTTCAGCGCATGCTGTGGGAAAAGACAAAATATCAGAGGAAGCATTAGACTACAGATTTGCCAAGTGGGCGGTGACAGAAAAGGTGAGACTGTAGTGTTAACCGAGTGTGTCTCTGTATCAGGGCAGTTAGCCGATTTATAATCTACAAATGAAGAATAAGATAATAGTATCTTTAATCATTCCTATTGTTAGATTTATTTTACATCTTTTAGATATCATTAAATGCCACCTTTCATCTTATATTCTTTCGGCGAATTTTACACCACTGTGATTGTCAATGATTTTTAACCTTAGATCAAATGTCTTAAATGTAACTAACATCACTCTAAAAAATATGACTTTTAATAAATACCTAGCAGAACTGGTTTCATTCCAGAAACTCTGTGTGATGCCATTGTCGATATTCTATTCCGAGGCGCATCGTTACATGTCTGAGAAATATGTGCGGATCTGTTTTTTGAAGGTAAATTGTTAAATTATGAATGCACTTGCACGTTGAACTCAGATTTACTATTTGATATTGATCTGGTAAATTGTTAATGATTTTACCTTGTGAAGGTAAATTGTTGATCAATTTACCTTGTGAAAGTAATTGTTGATCATTTTACCTTGTGAAGGTAAATTGTGAATGTATTTACCTTGTGAAGGTAAATTGTTAAAGATTTTACCTTGTGAAGGTAAATTGTTAAAGATTTTACCTTGTCAATGTAGATTGTTGATTTTACCTTGTGGAAGTAAACTGTTTGTATATTTGCCTTTTGACAGTAAATTACACATTGTCCAACTTGTGAAGGTAAATTGTGAATGTGTCTTCTTTATGAAAGTAAACTGTGAATGTGTTTACCTTGAGAGTGTAAATTGTTTTAGTGCTTGCCTTGTTCAGGTAAACTTGAAGTACTCTCCTTGTGAAGGTTCTGTTTCTACCTTTAAAGGTTTGTTACATACTTGTCACAATCACATTCCAGGTCACGTATGTGTTTTGTTTTGTAGACTGATGAAACACTGGAGAAGGCAAAAGAAATACTTGATGAATGGAAACAAAGTTGAACACACTTGTGTGTTCCTAATGGTGGGATTTTTCTTCTTAGATTTACAATGTAATATCCCTAGAGTTCTATATAAACTTTAGACAATAGAGAAAGTCATTAGACATCGGTAACCGCGGTAATGATGGAAGAGTGCTGACAATATGTAGATTAGTGGTGACGTCAAATTGACTTGTAGATATGGGTGGTTTAGGAACTTCACCAATGCATCTGTACACCACTTAACAACACTGATCTATATACAGCAGTTTGATGTTTAATCAGACGTTCAACTAACTTGGCATTGCTTAAAGGATAAAACGGACTTATTTAATAGAGAAGTGTTAATTATAAGAGGAGGGTGTGTACAGATGGTTCACTCCCAAAGAAGGTTGTTTATACTTTGTGTATTGACGGTCTATCTCTTTGGCAGGTGGTTGGGGAATACATATATAGTAAGCTATACTCATATATTTATTTAGAACCGTATCAATTATATAAACGCTGGTGCGTAAGGATGGTTCATATCTATAGCAGGGTGATAAGATAAAGCAAATAGGATTCTGGTAAATAATTAAAATTAAGTGGTTAGTTGTTTATACAATATAGTCAGAATTTCTCTGAAACAATTGATTATATAAATGTATGTATAAATAATAATATGTACCGTGATGTGAGGTTAAATATTACGGACCATCAACATCATTAATACTACACATATGATCTTAAATTTGTTTTCATTTATTATGAATTTTCATTAAACGAGTCTTAGGAGTTGTCATCTGAAATTAATGCATACTTTAAATATTTCTTTTTACCACATAACTCAAAAAAGTTACATTTTTAAAGTTTACAGATTTTTAAGCAAAAATGTTTATCATTTATTCCCAAAATGAAAAAGGCCGATCCATTAATTCCGTTTAGTATCAGTTTCCGAAGGTTGATGGACTGCACAATGGACAAAGGACAACACACGACGAACAAATAACCAGTTAGAGATGACATAGGGCCGCTTTTATGATACAAATCTTGTGTTGTGATCTAAGATATTTTATCAATAATGATTATGTATACCAATAAAAACATATATTTCCTTTCCATGTGTTCTAATGTAAATATCAATTATGTAACGTCAGTAACAGGATAATGACTTGTCATCAAAATATTCTGTGGATAAACTTCAACATTTTAGATAGTTTGATGGTAAGGCCTGCTTGTGGACGTATCATAAGAGATAACCTTATTCTGCGAATATCTTCATTCTGATACGAAGAAACGCTTTAGAGTTTACAAACGTTTTTTAGTTAAAATATCTAACTTTATCAGATCGATGGATGAACTATAACATAAAAATCCCGGATCTGTATTTCAACATTTTGAGTAATTTGAACATGTTTACCTGAAAATGACCGAAATCAAATCATCACTAAACGACATCGGAGTCACTGGGTCAGTATTCGAAACTACTGCAAGCAAGTTTCGAAACTTGGTAGCTGCCCTTTTCCGAAAATAGACGGTTTGTATGAAATACTGGGTAACAGAAAATAAACAATGAGAAAATACCACAATGTCAACATAATCATAATTAAAACTAGAGCAAAACATGAACAAAAGATAGATTTACACAGGAACTCCTAAAAAAGTAAAAGAATGAGATCAGATGTTTCAGAAGAGTAAGTGTCTTCTGCTTCATTGACAACACCATACAACTCTTGGTCAAGCCAAGGAAGAAATGTCATGTTTATAAAGGTAAAAGAAGACGAAATCAACAGGCAAACTAACGAATATCAAACATATCCATCTTCATCTCGAGTAAGGAATTGTAATGGTTTCCAATGAGATAACCGTGACGACCGTAAATGCTATCCCTGTTTGTAGAAGGATAACCCCGGGATAGGAAAAATGTGCAAGAGTATATCCGCAAGATATAGAAAATAAAGTTCGCGGAGGAATATTTTACTACTCGGAGAAGCAAACTACTCATACACGTCATAATACTACGTAATACTAATATGTTAATGAGAATAGAGAAGTGAATTCTATAAACAACACAATAGAACAGGGATTGAAATCACAGTCTCATTAAAGTGCAAACAGGGCAGAATCGCTTTTTTTGTTCCGTGAATACCTTAACGTCGCATATTCAAATATGGGCACTTGCACCAAGACTAAAATGTCAGAGTTGAAGATATTTGGTTCTGACAGATACCCTGCCAACTTTACAAGTATTTAATACACAAAAAAAACTAGCAAGTTTTACATCAATGCTTCCAGACACTTGGATCTGACGGACACCCAAAAAATTACATACATCAAGACACATGGTTCTGATGGACAACCAGGCAACTTTATGACAATGCTTCAAGACATTTGGTTCTGATGGACAACTAGACAACTTCACGACCATGCTTCAAAACAATTGGCTCTGATGGACAACCGGACAACTTTACGACCATGCTTCAAGACACTTAGTTCTGATGGACAACCGGACAACTTTACGACCATGCTTCAAGACACTTAATTCTAATGGACAACAGGACAACTTTACGACCATGCTTCAAGACACTTAATTCTGATGGACAACAGGACAACTTTACGACAATGCTTCAAGACACTTAATTCTGATGGACAACCGGACAACTTTACGACCATGCTTCAAGACACTTAATTCTGATGGACAACAGGACAGCTTTATGACAATGCTTCAAAACACTTGGCTCTGATGGACATTTTTTTGACAATGCTTCAAGACATTTCGTTCTGATGGGCAACCGGACAAATTATGAAAATGCTTGAGGACACTTAATTCTGAAGGAGACCAAGCGAACGTTAAAACAACTAAACATATCTGTTTCTGACACTTAAACTTATCAACGTTGCTACAACACATTTGGATCTAACGGTAAACTAAACAAGTGTTCAACATTGTTTCCAGACACTGGACTGTGATAGAGAACCTGACATTTGGTTCTGACGAACATACAAACAACTTTACACGTGCTTCAAGACACTGGACTGTGATAGAGAACCTGACATTTGGTTCTGAAGAACATACAAACAACTTTACACGTGCTTCAAGACACTGGACTGTGATAGAGAACCTGACATTTGGTTCTGACGAACATACAAACAGCTTTACACGTGTTTCCAGACACTGGACTGTGATAGAGAACCTGACATTTGGTTCTGACGAACATACAAACAGCTTTACACGTGTTTCCAGACACTGGACTGTGATTGTGAGAACCTGACATTTGGTTCTGACGAACATACAAACAGCTTTACACGTGCTTCAAGACACTGGACTGTGATAGAGAACCTGACATTTGGTTCTGACGAACATACAAACAGCTTTACACGTGCTTCAAGACACTGGCTGTGATGGAGAAATAAGCAACTTTACACGTGCTTCAAGACACTGGCTGTGATGGAGAAACAAACAACTTAACACGTACTTCAAGACACTGGCTGTGATAGAGAACCTGACATTTGGTTCTGACGAACATACAAACAGCTTTACACGTGCTTCAAGACACTGGCTGTGATGGAGAAATAAGCAACTTTACACGTGCTTCAAGACACTGGCTGTGATGGAGAAACAAACAACTTAACACGTACTTCAAGACACTGGCTGTGATGGAGAAACAAGCAACTTTACACGCGCTTCAAGACACTGGCTGTGATGGAGAAATAAGCAACTTTACACGTGCTTCAAGACACTGGCTGTGATGGAGAAACAAACAACTTACACTTCAAGACACTGGCTGTGATGGAGAAACAAGCAACTTAACACGCGCTTCAAGACACTGGCTGTGATGGAGAAACAAACAACTTAACACGTGCTTCAAGACACTGGCTGTGATGGAGAAACAAGCAACTTTACACGCGCTTCAAGACACTGGCTGTGATGGAGAAACAAGCAACTGTACACGTACTTCAAGACACTGGCTGTGATGGAGAAACAAACAACTTAACACGTGCTTCAAGACACTGGCTGTGATGGAGGAACAAGCAACTTTACACGTGCTTCAAGACACTGGCTGTGATGGAGAAACAAACAACTTTACACGTGCTTCAAGACACTGGCTGTGATGGAGAAACAAGCAACTTTACACGCGCTTCAAGACACTGGCTGTGATGGAGAAACAAGCAACTGTACACGTACTTCAAGACACTGGCTGTGATGGAGAAACAAGCAACTTTACACGCGCTTCAAGACACTGGCTGTGATGGAGAAACAAGCAACTGTACACGTACTTCAAGACACTGGCTGTGATGGAGAAACAAACAACTTTACACGTGCTTCAAGACACTGGCTGTGATGGAGAAACAAGCAACTTTACAAGTGTTTCAATACATTTGGTTCTGATGGGAAAACAGACAACTTTACGATCGTGCTTCATAATATTTGGTTCTGATGGAGAACCAGTCACTTTTACAACCATGCTTCAAGACTCTTAGATCTGATAGATGCACAGACAATTTATAAGTGCTCCAAAACTCTTGGTTCTTACAGCAAACAAGACAAATTTTCAGCAATATGAAAATCAATCTGAAGGACGGAATATTGCAGCATGACTCAAAAAAGCCAACATGCTACATATCTACAAGGTGAGATACATGAACACAAACGCCATCCGCCAATAGGTAGGATTAACATCAGTGATCATGGCAGCTAGTGGAATAGAGTTGTTGATTATATGACTAAATTGAACTCGAAGTCTACCTACTAAGCTGCCTCTTTAGCAAACTATCCAAAAAACTACTTGTCAATGAAGGGTTACTATGTACCGCAAAACATTTGGAAACGGATACTACGGTAAACTCTGTGGTTGTATTGAAAAGTCGAACATCACAAATAGCATAAATCTATTGCGCAAACTTGATTCCTTAAAGCCAGTGTGTGCTGTTTATAGGAACTTCCATTTCAAAATCATTTTTCGTTTTCGATTCTTCGGATGGGTCATACATACCTTACATGTTCATATATATTGAAAGGCGAAGATAATCCTCGGTGCATAGGATGTGATGAGCTATTCAGAGTTAAACATTTTTATTGGACTGCAGTGACCTTCTGTCTACTCGAGAACGTTTTTATCGTAACATTACATGTCTAAAATCCCTTTTTGAAACTGTTGAAATTTGTGAAATTCTACATTACCTGAAAGATGTTGGTCTATATAACGGACTATGACGTACCATTTTAGTCTTTTCTGTAAATATACCCATTTAATATTTTTAACATTTGTTTTTTACCTTTTGGTTTGTTTAACGTTATTTCCTTTTGGATCGCTGTGTGTTTTACTATTTGAAGGCCCTAATGACCTTTTATGTGTTGACGGGCCGTTAAGAATGTAATAATAATAATAATTTGTTCTCATTACATTCTTGCACAATTTTGTAACAGTATTGTTTTTTATGATTATTTTTTCAATGGTTCCGTGGCTCATATTCAACTTTCTATTCATAGTAACAAACCCTTGACCTTTTAACCCTTTAAAGCCATTCCCAGAAAGCAGTTTCTGTAAGTAAGAAATGGAAGAATTCTGAGGTAAAAATCGTGAAATTCATGGATATTGTGCAGAAAACCATTATCTATTTACAGTAACTGACCTTAACCTTTAACCTCCACCACACACACCCAAAAAAAGGCAAGTTGAAGCAAGTAATTCTTCTGCAAGGAGGCAGTGGAACATGTTAAAATGGATAAGAACTTGACATAGTTGTTGCTGGATAACAATGCCTATTTTCGTTCCATTTTAAACATTTCATTGATTTTAAAGGGATTAGCAAGCAGGCTTAAAGCCTATATTAATCTTCTCTGTACATTTTGGGAGAGTGGTGTAATTGGTGTTTGGTCCCTGTTGAGTTTACCTGGCTTTACAGGTAAAAGTGATCTTACATTTCAGTGTTGCCTGGTTGAACAGGTAACATTACGTTATCTGAGAGTGCTTAGACAATGTTAACTTAATTCAAAGGAGGAAACTTACAGATTGTGTCTCTTGTTTTGATAGGAAATGATTAAATCACTCTCTGGACGAGAGTTCACCTGATGCAAATGTAAACAAACGATTAAAATACTTCCAGTAACTGGGGAAAAGGTGGATATTTTCATAATCTTTACAATAAATTATGTAATTAACAATTATACCATATTCTACTTGTACAATTTTTGTTTTCTCCAAAGTACACAACAATAAAACAAAAGTGTGTAACAGTGACTTTATTGATGATGATGATGATATGATGATGGTGATGATATAATGATGGTGATGATGATATGATGATGGTGATGATGATAGGATAATGATGGTGATGATGATAGGATAATGATGGTGATGATGATATGATGATGATGACATGATGGTGATGATGATGGTCACCTGTGAGCTGACAGAAAGATTATTGCCAATCAAATTTGTAAAATACAGAACTGATGACAGAAAAATTGGTTTTCTGCCCGACTCTAATTCATGATCAGTGAGGACTGTCTAAATATATTTGACAAGATTATCACTTCAGTCAGAATCCCTTGATGTCTGTTAGGCAAAACTGGTAATGCATAATTCTCCAAAGTCACTGTGTTACGTTTGCCTGTTTTTCCTTTTTTCGTAGTTTCTCCATTACAGACGTATTGAGACACTTTTGCAGTAAAGAGTACAAGGTCTGGGAGGAACTAACACACTGGTTCATTGCCTGTAAAATATATACAATAAAGTTACAAAGCTTTATACATTATAACCAACCTAAAGATATAATATCAGGTAATAGCATTTCAAAATAAAAAGTAAAAAAAGTGCGTCGGCATTTTGATGTTTTCTTTGAACCAGCATGTATAATCCAACACTTACTTCTTTATCAGAAATCTTCTTGTTTATCAGAAATCTTCTTACACTAATCATATTAAAACTTATGGAACAATCTGGTATCAAGTATTTCATTGGTCCACAATTTTACTATTTCTAAATGACATTAGGAACATCAGACTCTCACCTTCTTCATGTCCTCAAACTCCACTTCTCCCTTGGAGGTGATTGCCGAGAGTTGGTTTAGGGATGGCATGTAACCAACCGTGACACTGCCATGGTTCACTGGGTTATCATCCTGAAAATAAAACAATCTGTTGTCTTGCACAAAAAATTTCACAAACAAAACAGAAAACATTACTAAGGCAATCAAGAGAGGTTACATGTAAAACGAAAAACACACGCGACAAAATAGAAATAAATGACAAAGTATAACTGTGCTAACAAATAACACTAACAGATAGCTGAACATTTACAAAGATAATATGAAGTATGATAAAATCTACATTAAATATCTAAGATATCATCATTCCTGAGATGTGGAGTAAATTTGTACAGATGTACACACAATCAAGCACCCACAGATTTCCAGACAAAAGGAAAATTCTATACCTCTCTTTATAAGTGGGGTAAGGATTACAAGTTAAATCATGATAGTCATGTGATTTACAAGCAGGCTTATCATCATTATGGGACCCATGACACCTTTCATGCTAATTGGTATTCTTTTTTTTTGCTTAACCAGGTAACAAGCTTCACTTCTGCTGTAAGGTAACCTTCAAGTTACAGAAATTCATTAGTTAAAGAATCCTTTTAAAATACTAGCCGCAATATACCACTCCACTGAGATTTGTATTCTTCTTTAGCTCGATTGGTTGATCCAGAAGGACCAGATGGCCAGCAATTCTTGAGATGAAAAAAAACAATAAATAAAATTCTATATATCAAATTTACCATATTCCCAACAGCAATCGCAAACAGAATAACCCCTGGTTTTACTAAACTGAATATGAAATTGAATGTTCATTGACAGAACCTAAAAACATTACGTAAGTTTATTAAGATTATTTCAAGTTCCAATTACAGGTAATTGTCTGTTTTATATAAGACTTCTCTGCTCGTATAAAAGGCAATTTTACATTTATGTTCCTAACAGTTTTTATCTAATACAGACATAATGAAAAGATCAGTACAAAATCACACTTACATAACAGAATTTTTGCATAAGGAACTTGCCTGAGATTTGTATTCTTCATTTTCTGTGGGATCCAGAAGGACAAGATGGCCAGCAATTCTCTAGAAAAAAAACAATAAATAAAATTCTATATATCAAATTTACCATTTTCCCAACAGCAACCCAAGCAAACAGAATTAGTTCTGGTTTTACTAAACTGAATATGAAATTGAATGTTCATTGACAGAACCTAAAAACATTACGTAAGTTTATTAAGATTATTTCAAGTTCCAATTACAGGTAAATGTCTGTTTTATATAAGACTTCTCTGCTCGTATAAAAGGCAATTTTACATTTATGTTCCTAACAGTTTTTATCTAATACAGACATAATGAAAAGATCAGTACAAAATCACACTTACAACAGAATATTCTACATAAGGTTTAACTTATCGCAGAACACCTCACTACAAGGTCAAACTTACCATAGAGAACTCAAAAGGGTCAAACTTACCACAGAACACCGAATCAAAAAGTTAAACTTACCGCAGAACATCCCACACAAGCTCAAACTTACCATAGAGAACTCCAAAGGGTCAAATTTACCACAGAACACCCAATCAAAAGGTTCAACATAGCACAGAACATCCCACACAAGCTCAAATTTACCACAGAACACCCAATCAAAAGGTTAAACTTACCACAGAACATCCCACACAAGCTCAAACTTACCACAAAACACCCAATCAAAAGGTTAAATTTACCACAGAACATCCCACACAAGCTTAAACATACCACAAAACACCGAATCAAAAGCTCAAAGTTACCATAGAGCACCCTGCTACAAGGTCAAACTTGACAAAACAACAACCCAGAACAAGGTCAAATTTACTGTTGGGCACCATTTCACAAGGTCAAACTTGCCAAAAAACATTTAACGACAAGGTCAAGTTTACTATGGGACACCCTTTCACAAGGCCAAAACCACAGAATAAGCTACCACAGATCAAACATACCACAGAAACCCCCATTTAAGGTCAAACAGTAACTTACCACAGAACATCCGACCACAAGGTCATACATTTCTACACCCGCATTAGCCAAGGCGACTGAAGCACAGGTAATTGCAGCTGCCAACGCTTATAAACAAATAAGTAAAACAAAAACAATTAAAGATTACATAGTTCAATTGCAGTAGTAACAGAAAAATGGTAAAAATTCAGATTTAACTTACATTAAGGTTAAGTAAGTAGAATGACAGAAACATGTCACAATGGTGTACATTTCATATTGCAGGGGAAGTAATTCACCTTTCATAAAGAAGTCTTCTTTTACACAAAAAATTTCAAAATCAGTTTTTATTACAAAAACATGGTAACATATCATCTTGAAAATGATTTCAGAATGAATTGTATTTCCTTACTCCTTCCTATGTTGTTCTTTTAGACACAAACATGGTTGGGCATGCAGTGTATAAACCTGCACAAGGCATCATAACAAGCAATAAAGAGTCTGTCAGGTTACAGACACATACCAGTGGACACAAGATGTAATATGCAAGTGTTGTCTTTGATCCTAGTAGTCAGGTATTGTTTCATGTGTAGAACTTTAAAAGTTGTTGATAGTAGGGTATACACTACAGTGTAGAAAATAGTGCATGTGTTCTTAGTCATCTCTCTACATATAGAGGCACACAGACTCCGCACCAATTCCAAACCCACAGTCTATATTACCATATGTATTTTGTCACTATGTATTATGTAAATTGTATACATATATGAACCATGGGTTTGGAATTAGTGCCAAGTTCCTGTATATAGACAACTTTACTTGAGTCTCAATTCATGTTAGATTCATAGATGAAGATTATAATTTTTCATTTTCCAAACTTCTACAATAAATGTTTAAATCATCAACATAATTTTGTTTATTTCTCGTTCAACCTAGTAAACTGAGAAAGCAGTATTAACTGCCAGGCATGAAGATATTGCTGTACAGAGGTAAAACACACCTTATCCTGGATATCCTCATGTACCACATCCAGTAAACAATATATCTAAACACTTTTGTATTATGACCAAAAAGACATGAATCAGACTGCGTAGCAGATTTCTGGATCTCTTAGGTATGTATCCGTATCATTTGTCTGACATTAAGTAGTTGACTGTAATGAATCTAATAACATTGTCTTCAGTGATTGTTTCCAAAAACAACTAAGAAACATATCAACACATTAAAAGAATCTTAATTCAAACTCAAATTCAATACAAGTAGCGTAATTATGAAAAAATTTTCATAGAACCCCCCCCTTAAAAAAGTGCAAGGAGAATAAGACCAGGTGCTCCAACAGGTTTAGCATCTTTTGCTTGATCAACAACATCTGCCATGTCAATCTGTATATATTTGCGGGGGGTCAGGTGGCGCAGTAGTAATGCACTCACCTTTCACCTAGCCAACCGGGGTTCGATTCCCGGAACGAACGTGACAAGGTAAGGGGTCACCTGCCTGACCATGTGGGTTTTCCCCGGGTACTCCGGTTTCCTCCCATAATAAGGCCCCTCGCGCGCTTACATCTGGGCCACCAAGAGTGATTAGTATAAGCTGACATAACTTGTTTCGCAATTGTAAAATAAATAAAGTTTTTACTTTTTTTATATATATATTTGTTCCAAAATCACCATGCATACTGAAGAGTATCAAACATGTCTGTATTCCTGGATATCAAAGCACAAATTAAATTCCCTAATTAGCACAGTGAAGGGTAAAGTATTAGCCCCATCAAATATAATACCTATAAATTGTTTAAGATTTTTCCGCAGTTATTTGGTGCAGTGATTAATCTTAATGAACTATTATGAAGAAAATTTAACAGTAATTAAATAGATAATATAGTTTCTTTTACAAAAAATTGATGTTGTCCACTTCTATACTATCATATATAAATATTCAGTTTTACCTGATCCATCATTCTGTAGAACTGTCACATATATGTCCACTTGAGCTTTTGGAAATTTGTGCTGTAAATAAATATGATAATGAATACTTCAGACCAGCTATCAGATTCAGAAGAATGTTGATACAATGTTAAGAGCTGAAAATATCTGTTATGATTTAAAATCAGTAAGTCTTTATAAAATGTAACACATGAACCAGTTCCCTGCAAACTAGAACCAACGTTTGATCAATTTCTATGGACAAAGACTGTCTCGACCAAAGAATCCTGTAATGAGAACCTCATGATGTAGTCAACACCAATGTCCCGAAGTCAATAAAATCTGATAAATCTTTCCTAGAACTGCCGTGGATACCTGAGGTATAAAGAGTCCTCACTAAATGAATGTGATAAAACTGTAAGGAGTACACACAACACGACCAGTTCAGATACAATACACGATTTATTTTCACCCCAAGTTGCTTACATGTTTCAGGTCTACGTGACTTAGTCTAAGACCTGAAACATGTAAATGACTTGTGGCAATCGTGTATTGGATCGGAACTGGTCATGTTGTGCCCACTCCTTATGGTCTTATAGTGAAGTGTTGTATTCTGAAGTTTTAAATCAACGATTCAGGACAAAGTGGAAAGAGACGGATATGGGATAAAATATACGCCTGGCATAAAACGGCAAGAAAAGAAAATACAGTTTATGAAGAGACATGTGCTTGCAAGTATTTTTGAAAAAAAGAACATAAGACAAATGAGACAATATTTCTGAAGATTCTAGCTAATCGTACCACCTATCATATATATGCAAGATCACCAATTTGACCTGTTTTTACTATAAACTTTTTGTCATTTCATCATACTAGCTATTTTCTGTCTTAATAAACATGATATCATGGTGAAGTAATTTTGATGGTTTTATTACCATTTTGTACACTGTATACCTCGGTACTGATATACCTCTGACTATCAATTTTTATGAAGAAAGTAACAGTGTAGCCATCGTGATGCCATACATCAATTTCTCCTGGTAGCAATATACAATATCACTACATCTGATTAATTGGTGCTAAATTATGACCTTCTTTTAGGTTTTTTTGGAGCAGATAATGGGCTCCATTCCAAATAGGAATTACCCATTCTGAATTGTAATTATTTTAGATCTAAACCAAATTCCCAAAATTTGCAATTTAATCCTGAAAATGCCCTTCAAGTTCCCTTTTTATCAATTTTCTTCCCAAAGTGAGACAAAAGCTTTAAACCAGTTGTTAAAAAGCCTTAAGGATTTGCAAAAACATTAGTCAGTTTATGGATGTGTGAGTTACTGTTTAAACCTTTGAAAAAGTTTCATACATTACCAATTCTTAACTTATTCATCCTACAATATGGGCAGTGAGGGAGGGGGCAACAAATAGCCTCCAACTCTAAGTAAGAGTGTGGGCTTACTACAGGATTCTGAGATAGTATATGCATGTAATTCTTCTGATTACCAATACATGTAGGTGGGCTTATTACAAGACCAAGATATTACACATGTTAGCATAATAATGAACTCACCATACACACAGCTGGTTCAAGGGCATCTAAAAGCTGTACAGACAAATCTTTCTCTTCACTGTCCTGTTGGTAGGAGCGTCGGTAGCGACATGAGAACGTTGCATATTTGAATACACAGTTGATGATACCCTTCATGCTGAAGTCTTCCTTACGACCAACCTCCCTTGGGCCATACCTGAATTTGGTTTAAATCATTATCATTTACAGAACTTGTCAATCACAGACATTATTAGTCAGTCGAAACTTTATGCCAAAAGCCAAAAATAGACAACAAGCATAAGTATAACTTTAAACATCCGAAATCATGAAAAAAAATAAACAAAAATCCTTGATATTGAAAATAATGTCTCACTTGAAGTCTTTTCAAAAATACCTTCTAATCTTGAACAAAACTGTTGATTCAGAAATCAGATCTATCACCAGAAGTATCTCAGTATGAGAACATTGTGTATTTGAGTCTGAGTATAATTTAATGACACGGGGGGTGGGGCCTGTATTTCTTGTGAGGTAATCTGTTTGGTTCTACAGTATAACAATGCCATGCACTGTAATAGAATATAGTTCTCTTATTGCCAAAAAGAAAATGTTCAGTATTAACAAGCAATCAGACAAAATAAATCGTATTTGTCCTTCATAAGAAACTGAATGTAAATTAAGACTTAAGTTGATAGAAATTCAGAAGCTCGTATGTTTTAAAAAGTATCCTGTGATTTTTCTTGTAAATGAGTCATTGATAGATATTTTTCAGTAAGATTTCAGAGTTAAAAAATTTAATTAATGATTTTAATAAGCAAGTAAATCTTAAACAAAGATCACCAATCAACTACAAGTTGTACTAGACAATGAAAACAACCTGTGAGATGGTTCCCGAGATCAAAGGTGTTTCACTCTTGTTGGCTTCTTTTGAAAATCTTGTACATACATTGTAAACATTTTTACTTATATTGTTAACCCTTACGCAGACATTGTAAACCCTTGGCCCTGTATTGTAAACCCTTACACAGACATTGTAAACCCTTGGCCCTATATTGTAAACCCTTACACAGACATTGTAAACCCTTGGCCCTATATTGTAAACCCTTACACAGACATTGTAAACCCTTGGCCCTATATTGTAAACCCTTACACAGACATTGTAAACCCTTGGCCCTATATTGTAAAACCTTACAGACATTGTAAACCCTTGGCCCTACATTGTAAACTCTTACACAGACATTGTAAACCCTTGGCCCTATATTGTTAACCCTTACACAGACATTGTAAACCCTTGGCCCTATATTGTTAACCCTTGGCCCTATATTGTTAACCCTTACACAGACATTGTAAACCCTTGGCCCTATATTGTTAACCCTTACACAGACATTGTAAACCCTTGGCCCTATATTGTAAACCCTTACACAGACATTGTAAACCCTTGGCCCTATATTGTAAACCCTTACAAAGACATTGTAAACCCTTGGCCCTGTAATGTTAACCCTTACACAGACATTGTAAACCCTTGGCCCTATATTGTAAACCCTTACACAGACATTGTAAACCCTTGGCCCTATATTGTTAGCTTTCAGACCTATATATTGTCAACCCTTGGACCTAATTGTAACCTTTTGGACTTATATATTGTAAACCGTTGGATATATATCATAAATACATGTCCCTGTATCGTATTACTTTGCATCTACATCATAAAACCTTTGACTTTTATTATAAAACCTTTAACCTTAATTATGAAAACCTTGGACCTATATCATATACACTTGCATCTACATATAAAACTTTGGACCTTTATTGTAAATCCTTGGATGTACAAGATAAATTATAGCACCAACATTGTAAATCCTAGGACCATATATGTTTAGGTAGTTACTTACACTGCACACATAACCTTAGTGTTATCCTGTTCTATATAAGCTGATCCCCTCGCCTGACTCACCACATCTGCCTTCAGGTCTATCAAAATAAATGTATCATGTCACATTCGGTATCATCATGAACATCTAGTAAATCATTATTAATATTAATCTGTATAATATTTTCATATTCCTGAAAAGAAAAATCCCATAAACAACAACCAAAAGTCATACTAAAATGACATGACCAATGAAAATCAATAGACATTAGCTTTTGTCATCCCATCCATAAAGAGGACTAAGGTCTGCAGGACATATCTGTTGTCTACAACATATTCACAAGTGTCCTTCTGTAAGTTTGTTTGTTTGGTTTGTGGTCTCTAAAAAACAGCCAGGTCATTTTCAAACTGGGTCTCCTTGTAACAGCTAGTTGTTACCTCACTGACCAACATACAGATGGACCATCACGTCATTCAAAGCAATTAGAGTAAAATAAGAGAGAAATATTTTGCCCAAGAACACGATTAAATCAGCACAGTTTAACACAAACTGTCATACAATATAGGTAAGGTGCACTGAACCACTGCAAGAAGCCCAGAGTGACAATTAATAATTCATCCTAATCAAGGAGTGAACTTACAACATATTACAGGAAAATCATTACAAGTTTTAAATCTATTGAATGGCTTTATGTATCAGTGGGCTTATTCTCAGTCAGGAGCTTATCATACAGATTTTTTTAAAGCTTTTTGGAATCAATAAATGGACTTTGTTCTCATTCGTCATTATATCTATATCTGAGTCAAAGTCCAAAAACTTGTTATACAATGTTTATTCTTCTGAACATTTCCTTCCCCATCACTAATTTTCTTCCTTAAAGAAGCAAAAATGCTCCATCCCAAACCAGTGGATACAAAATATCTGTAAAGAGTGCACTTCAGGAACATAGCAAGTTTCTGGCATTCCAAGACTAAACCTTCATTTATTGCCAAATGTGAAGGCAACCAGAAATTTGCTTTATTCCAAATGTTCATGGTTTAACTGTAAAAATATTATGATGGAAAAACTGTAGAGATGTTTTTTTCAACTACAAATATCTATGCCTTAACCGCCCCTTTAATGGCAATGGAGTCAGAATTGGAAAGTGAAAATATGTGCAAAATATCTTTTAGCTTTTAACTAGGCAAGAGTATTCTAAGTTTTTGTAATTTCATTTGAGTTAAAATAGGTATTTGAAATCATATTCAAAAATCACTGTTTCACCACTGACATGACAGACACTCTTATGCACCTGTATGTATATATTATAATATGCCACTAATGCATGTACTCACATATTGGTCGCAGTGTGTCAGTGGCACGTCCATCACATCGTTTTTCTGTGAGAACCTATTCAACAAATAAAAAAGAACAACCTGGGTAACTTTCTTAGTTCATTACTAATAAAAATGTTAACTGACACTCTACAAAAATTTGTATGTAAACCTTATTTATTTTCAAACAGTTGCAAAAGAAATATAATTTAATCGCTCATGTTGGGCTGGTTGAAACATGTGAGAGGTTTTACAACAGGAGGAAACCATAGTGTCCTGGAACAATCCATGTGGTTGGGCAGGTGACACCACATCTTTGCACATCCAAATGAGGAAATGAACCCTGGTTGCCTAACAAAAGGCACGTCACCACCTGACCACACAAACTCACTGGAAATTATATACATTTACTTCTACACATTCAATATATTTACCGGTAATTTGACATATTCAATATGGATATTTTTTAGACTGGTTTACTCTACACTTATAAAACCTTTGTTAAATTTTAATCATGCAACTTTTCATATTTCTCTTGCAATCAATTCATTTGTCTGAATACCAAAATTTACAGCCCATAATGCTAGCAAGCAACACAACACTGGCTTAAAGTTATGATCTTAAGTTTCCTCTGTGAATTTCAGATGTTTCACTTCCAGTCCATTTTGCACCCAATATCATTCACTTGCGCATTTTTCAACCCAATGTCACAGTCCAAAAATGACAGTGTGTTCCTACCTCTATTATTGTAGTGTAAGAAATTAAATTTTTTTTTGCAATCTAAACAACAACTCATGCATATATTTTATTATTGTTTTCATCATAAATATTAATTGTCAGCCAGGAACTGCCAAATCTGTCGATATTATACCTCTAAAAAGACTTACACTGTCTGAGTATGATTTAGAGAATCCCTTACACTGTCTGAGTATGATTTAGAGAATCCCTTACACTGTCTGAGTATGATTTAGAGAATCCCTTACACTATCTGAGTATGATTTAGAGAATCCCTTACACTGTCTGAGTATGATTTAGAGAATCCCTTACACTATCTGAGTATGATTTAGAGAATCCCTTACACTGTCTGAGTATGATTTAGAGAATCCCTTACACTGTCTGAGTATGATTTAGAGAATCCCTTACACTGTCTGAGTATGATTTAGAGAATCCCTTACACTGTCTGAGTATGATTTAGAGAATCCCTTACACTGTCTGAGTATGATTTAGAGAATCCCTTACACTGTCTGAGTATGATTTAGAGAATCCTTCAAAAAAGTTAATGAAACACTTACCCAAAATAAATTAAAGATTTTTAGCATCGAGTGTAAAATGAAATTACCTCCACTGCAAAACAAACAATAAACTAATATTGGTGTGAAACATTGTAATGCAACAGAAGTCAGATCGAAACATCAGCATACTAATTTGCACATGTCAACAGTAACTTCACAGAAGGCTTATTTTTGTACTATCACCATGCTTGGGATGAGATATTCCTGTGTCTGAAATGTTTTTTTCAATTTTCTTTTTGAGGCACAACACTTACTGCCCACAGAAATGCTCTACACATTTACAACTAGTCTATCTTTTATTTTTGTATTAGTCGCATGTAAATAGTCAGAATCTTTCAATTCAGACCAATCATCAGACTAAATATAGACATACATATAAGGTTTTTCTCTCATTTCCACCTGTGTCAGATAGGCCTGTCCAGGGTAATAAACATGGTCATGATAGACGTTTATTACACAGGCGCCTGTGTAATAAAGCCTCGCGCGCAGAGTAATTCATAGTTTTTTTCCCTCGCACTCATCGACTATGTCCTCGTCAACCACTTCATCCACAAACATGCATAGTCGATTGGAGTCGTTGTTTGCAGGGTCGTATTTACAAAACTGATCTATAAATATCAACATCACCAACTCTGGGACTCAGCCTTTCCGCCGTCGTCCACATGTAATTGAAAGTGACAGTGACTAACTTTCCTCCTGTCGGTATGGCTCGAAATGTGTGACATAAGTGACGTCATCTCACAAGCAAACGAAAAATTCCATTCATAAATGTGTAAGATTTAAAAGATTACTATTGACAGTAAAGCAGTATTAATAACTTGACCAACATGTTCAAAGATGTTAAATGTGTTTATGATATATTATACATTGAACAATAGTAAATATTAAAAAGAAAAGTGTTGTTTTATTGCGTGTTTTAAGGCACTATATTTGAACACGTATGCATGTCTCTGGGTGACATATTTGACAGAGTATTTGACCCGGCCCAGTTGAAGTAAAAGCAGTTAAACACTGACGTTGGATGTTTACATTCACAGTCCATATTATGTTTTCGACTGCAAACATAGTTTGCGAAATTCGGGAATGGAGAATCTATTTCAGCGATTTTTTTAATGTATATAACCCAAGAAAAAAATATAGAATTCTGAAAAATTGCGGCGTCCAGTGCTGGCTACCGCGAGGTGAGTGCAAATATTTGATAATATGAGATTAGAAATGAAAGAAAAAAACTCTTTTCTATATGGGTTTGTAGGATAGGGATCCGAGGGTTTTTACCACATTTTGTGATCCAGAGGGTGGAATATCCCTATCCTACATACCCATATAGAAAAGAGTCTTATAGTCATATACGTCCCTGATTAGTGTTATCAATAAAATTACAAATAATTACATGTGTAATAAAACAAACTAAATAAGACACCCGTGTACATAAATCGGAAAAAAATCAATGTGGCACTACTTACAATCATGCAATTCAAGTTATATATATCCTTATAACGAAGGTAATTATTCTGCTATTTGGATTGGGTTCGAAAACAGAACTTAAAACTCTTTCAAGAGGAAACCTTTCGGCTGCTTGAGCGTATTCATCATTTCAATTGTCGAAAACGAGAATACTATATGAATTCCCATTGACTTAAATATGCAGTATAACTACACTTAAAGTCCTTCGATCATACATGTACCTGAGTACATATATATATATATACATATCCATTTTCCTTAATGGTACGAGTAAGTCCCTCTTGCATAAACCCAACTATTAAATCTGTATACCTGAACCTTTTGTGGTTTTAGATAGACATAAGGACTTTTAGTTTCTTCTGGTCCCGTTAAGCGTCTGGAATCTGTAGGCATGATCGTAATAGTCGGCTATCAGCCGAAATGTCTAGGCGAATTTCAAACTTTGTTTATAATATGGTCCCACATGGCGAACCCGGATATTGCAGTAACAAACTAAAATGCATACTCGAAAGCGTTTCGTAATGTCCGGAAAGACTAGGCAGTCGCGTTAGACTCCATACATTAAACTGCAACGTTCTTACTTAAAGGGAATTTTTATGATATAATTGGAAAGTTGACATTCACTTGAGAAAAGACATATATATTTATGTACATTTTTTATATATCACATGTATTTTGAAATATGAAAAATATCTTATGAAAGATATCTTTGACTACACAAAGACATTTTAAAAAATGCCAACGTGTCAACCTAATCATAAACCAAACTAAAATTCGATAAAACTAGGACAAAATATAAACTAAAAGAAAAATTTACACGGAAACTCATGGAAACGGAGAATAGGACCAGATGTTCCGAAAGAGTAAGCATCTTCTACTTTATTGACGACACCCGCTATGTATACCTTATTGGCCAATCCAAGTAAGTAATGTCACTTTCTCAAATGAGAACAATATATACAACAACGGAACCAACAGGCAAACTAACGAGCATCAAAAACGTCCTGCTTCGTATCGCACAAAGAAATGGAAAGAAAATTTCTAAATGAGAACTTTATGACGACCGTAACAATTTCCCCTGTTTTATATAATCCTGCATCTTTTAAACTCTTTCTAACGAGTTTTTCCGTCAGTTGACACACAGGTGAATCCATAGCACCTTTCAAGTTTTATAGTTTGATACAGCAGAGTCAGATAATGAATTAAATTGCATATTGCAATAGTTTCGTCCTTCTAGGATTTGTCAGTGATGCCAAGGACCTAAATTTTGAAACTAACAGAATTCTGAAATGATGATCTTTCTTTTTTTAATCGGATTGAAAATGTCATTTTAAGTCTGAATGTAAAAGGTGCTAGTATTTCTCCTACTGAAAACTTTTATCATATGTCAATATCAAAATGATTTTTTTTAATATTTAAAGTGGGTGCATATGGGATAAAATTTCTTTGTTTCAGTTGTTGAATAATCACATGGTTTAAACAGAAAACTAATCATTTTAATGTACAGTTGAAACTCTTTGTCACGAAATCGTTTGTGTCGGAATTCCGTTTGGGTCGAAATAATTCCCCAGTCCTGATTTTTCCTCTTCTATATCTTGGTAATTTTAGTTCGGATGATTCGAATTTCATTTAGTCGAAATTTCGTTTGAGTCGAAGTGATTTTTCAGTCCCTTCCATTGTAAAGCAAGGGAACAATCACTCGTTATCTCGAAATTAGTTTTTATGTCAAAACATCGGCACATCTTCTGGCGAAATCGGTTAATGCATACCAGGGACGTCCCTGTACATACACAGAGTAGAAAGTCATCCGTACCCACAACACTTTGACCCTGATGATTCATTACTAGTTTAAAAATTGGCTTCTTAATTAGTGTCACCATCCTGTAGTAGTGACTTACCTGTATGTTAAACAAGTAGGGTGTTTACACCAGACATGAAAACATTTAGCTTGGTTATGTACACCTTCAGTAAAAATCAAAATACAACCCCGTCAAATCAGTACAAACTTTTTGCCAAAATCTGATCCCCACCATTCGGAGAAAAACTAAATTTTGAGCTTGTTTACTAAAGAAGTGTGACCGGACACTTTGCTAGATTGAGTGCTTTGACAATAAGGCGCTGAAAGTATTTCCCATTGATAGAGTCTATATCTGTGTGATTTGTTAAGTCTAGTACTGGTATCATGTTTTCTATAACACTTTCTAGTACCGCGTTTTCCATTTGTTTATTTATTCATAATAAAGTCTTATTAATATGATCGTTGCTTCTATATGATTTATAGATCTACATGTGCGTGGCAAGTAAGGGTAGTGTACACCTGTGAGAGACGGAATGAAGTGAGAGTCAATCTAGTGTCATTGAAACTGAGGATGCCTCCATATTTAGATATATCTGTCACAGGCTGCAGGGATTTTTGTTGCGAAGTTGACCAAAATAAGAAGTAGATGTCAAGAGGGGAAGAATCTGTACCACTGGTGAAAACCAGTCATCTCATAAATTATTCCAGAATGTTTTAATATGTCATCCATGATTTAGAATGAGAAGACCACAAACTCGTGTTAGTGTGACCGTCTGCATGTCCTGAATCTGAAACCAAATAGCGTTAATGCCAACACTACATAACATAGGTTTTTTTTCACAAAAATATACCCTAAGAAAATACCAGCTTGGCAACATATTCATAGGGATAAAAGACCATGTGTTCCAGAAGAGTATGCGTCTTATACTTAATCCACGAAATCCGCCAGGTAAACATTGGTCAATCCAAGTTAGTAATGTCATGTTCGCAAATGAGAACAAGGTATACAACAACAGAAACAACAGGCAAACTTATTAGCATCAAATACGTCCAGCTTCATGTCACACAAATAAAAAGAATATTTCTCCACGGTATCCCTATGGCGACCATAAAACTTCTTCATAATTTTCATCAACCTTCATCTTTTGAAACCCTGTTTGACGAGTTTGTAAGTTAGTTGACAGTGATAATAGTTAAAGATGCAACTGTGAATAATTCGTCTTTTTCATCCGATTAAGTCGTAATGTTAATGCTTAATACATTTTACCTTCAGTACCAAGCTGTTATTTTTGTAGTAATTTATAATTACAGTTTGATCGGCTGTGGCCTGATACATATGGCTTATTCACTTCCAAACCTTACAAATAAATTCCAGATCACCGCGAAGTTCTTCTCCTATGTACTCAGGTGAGTAGCACTTAGTATCAACTTATTATCGTTTATGTATCGTTGGGAAACCGGAAATACATCAAATATTTCTGTAAATAACGTTATATCTGAATCACCAGAACAAGTTTTTAGCGTACAGTTGAGGACTCGTCAACCGAAAAAGCAAGGAAATGTCGATTTGTTAAATGAATGGAAGTGCTTGCCCCAGATAAATAGAATAAATAGGACCAGGTGCTCCAGAAGGGTAAAAGCCAATCATATTGTGCTCAATCGGAGATACTCGACATGAACATTTTGGTCATTCTCTAATTGAGAACATGAGTAGATTGAAGACATTTGGTACGTGAAAAATGCACCCCGGAAAAATTCCATGATACCTCTCAGCGGCTTTTTTAAAACCCTTGACTAACAATCATTTGAATAAGAAACAAGCCACGATTTTGTACACACTAAAGCTGACACCTACCAATGTTTTATACAGAGCTATGGGGTATCCGCGGGGTGGTATGCTCCTCTTTAAGTTGCTCTCCTCGACAAGGACGCTTTTCATATGAAAGACATGTTCGTTAGATTAACTCTATTCATCATCTGTTTCGCCGTCTTTATTTAGGTATATCATATCGCTATTGATTGTCGTTCCAATTAAACTTTAAAAAAAAAGAACTCATTGTGTCGTCATTTTATCAGGGTTTTTGTGATTGGTGTTTTTTTCTTATCAAACTGTTTTTAATTTGTTTATTATTTCTGCGTATTTCCCATTACTTATTAAAATGTATGGCATAAACAGTAATTCTGTATTATTTCCGTACCTCTTTGAAAATGGTATCCATTACAACATGAATTGTAGATGCGTGCAATACATTTTAAGCTGGACATCCGGATTGGATTCTTTTCAAGACGAATTTGTTTTATTGATTTTACAGTGTTTTTGTGACAATCTTTACCCTCCGTTAATGACCAAATACTGTAAACGTACAAATTTTAGGGGTAATTTTGTTTTAACGTTCTTTTTGCGCTGAAATGATTGGTCAATCTAGATGATATTTATATCAGCATTATTAACAATGCACGAGATTATCAATGTGCTGATTTGCCAGGAGGTGGTAATGGCCTAAAATGTGATTCTTCATACAGGTACCTAGTTAATAGTAAAACAAAAATACTTTTATACTGTAATTATTCTCGTATGACATGAAATGACAGCTAACAATGACAGAAATAAATGGACTTTTCATTACAGAGGCTTGTATTTACTTACTCAGTTATCTTAATTCGTCTTGTCTTCGAATGTGTAAAAATCTATATCATTCCTTAGAACCTCTAGTGTGAAATTCATGGTAAAACCATGGCCTGCGTCATCAATGTAGTTACGGAAGTTTCTTGATAAAATGTCTAACAATGGTCACTAAGTCTAAAGTTTGTTTTAAACATAGTAACGGTATGTAAAAGAAACTTTTTCATTCTCATTAAGGAATAAACTAGATTGTGTATACCATATTTTAAGACTATATCACATTCACTTTCCTGGTGAGCTAATTAGTCATGTTGGTAAATAGCTTACATCGTCATGCCTGCAAGATATTTATACCTACTCATGTTTTTTATTATTTGTTTGCTTTGGTTTCAAATATATATTTCATTTCAAATAAATCTCTCGAATAGCTCAAAATAATGTTGCTTAAGTTTCATTCACAATAACAAATAATTTGATAATCTATGGTTTTTTATGAATATATATGGCAACTCATCTGGCTTAAAATGGATGTCCGTAGTAAAATGCGTTGTCCCAGTATCACCTTGCTTGAGGTACAATGGACGAACAAATGGAGTACAAATATACGACTACAAAGTATTACCTTTATGAAGAATAAATGGGAACGTCCAAAATCATGGTCATGAGAAGATGCTGCGATTGCCCAAGAACGAGGAAGGGAGGAAATGCCAGAACAACATAGCCGCACCATGACCTTTAATATTGTCCCAGCTACTGCAACGAACACTCGCTCACGACTCTATGATTTCATGAACAAACCAATTACGGATTCGGTGTATGAACAAGTTGGCAAGGAAACGGATAATGTGTCAGAGGTGAGGTCACTCTTCAGGCAAGCCTATACGTGGGATATATGATCAGAATGAAAATACAGGCCTGATCAACGATGAGCACATGGCAGACAAAGACAATATAGAACAATTCTGTAGCAGATCAAAATTAAATGAATCACAAGGGTATCTGATACGACAGAATGCGTAATTTGTGGAGAAATACCT